TACCCTGTGGTGTGCTTGGAGGGGGCTGCTCAGGTGCATGTGGAACAGGTGCCAGGGCACTGGGGTGAGCACTGAAGGATCTGCCTGGGACTCTTCCCTTCAAGTTAGTGTCGGTATTTCACTACTAACTGGGAAACAAAAGGGAGCTGATGGTGCTGTTGGTGAAGGAGCATTCACTCTCTGTCTGGGCACAAAAAGTTCCGTGGCGGGTAACTCCTGGGTGGAAGAAGACCTTGCACCCGTGTTCTGTGAACACATTCTGTACAGCTGAGATGTGAATTGTTCCCCAGATGGAGGGGTGGGAAATTAACACGCTGTAGTTGGAACAGTCCTTAGCAAAACCTGGCTGAACAGTTTGGGGAAATGACTTGGACCAATCACAGGCTTGTCAAGTGGAGTCCAACATGCTGGAGAAGTGGTTCCTCAGTGTTTTCTTAATGGAGCAGCTCATTCTACAATATGCAAAGGGAAAGGCTGTTTTGGGCAGCTATCAGTAACACATAGCAGCCACTTAAGCTACAGAGGTGGCTCCCTAAGTAAGTGACCGTAATATGTATGGAGCAAGTAGAGTGCCAAAAAGTGACGTTAAATTTTGGATAATGAAACCTCAGCTAGTTGAAGGGTTAGCTGAAAAGACTAAGATGTGGATACTGTATTTCCATATGCCAGGGTGCTTCCAGGGTAGCCCAGCATTCTGGGATGCTCAGGCTACTGAACAAAAGTAATCAAGATGACAAGGAAAAAAAGCACTGTTCATTTGAGAAGCTCTTTGTGCCATATAGACCTTTCTAAAAACTGACATTCTGATCTTCATAGCGCTAATAAATAAGAGTATTGAATTCCCTTTGGAATGTTTTTTGTTAATTAAAGGTTCAAAATGGAGGACAAAGAGTGAATAGCCAAAGCTGTGCAAGAGAGATTATTTACATACATTGGACTTCAGTCTGCAGAGGATTGGCTATCTGGCATATGCCAGCCTGGGACTTGCCTTTTGGTAGTGCAGTACCTCAGAGGTTCTGGAAAAGGAAAAAGAAAGCATAGTAATGACTTGAAATGTCAGAGAGCATCATTTCCAGATGATTCATCAGAGTGCCACGCAAACTGAGCTGCTAGAAAAAATTGTAATTTTTTGGTGAAAACTACTACTGTAGTGTTGGGAAAGTAACAGAGGTTGTGTGTGTTGAAAAGGGCTGGAGAATGGTCTTGGGAAACTGAGGCAGATGTGCAGCCTACACCAGATCTGATGGAACAGCAAAGCACTTGGTGGGGGGATCATGGCAGGATTTGAGCAGCTTGCAGTCTCTGGCTAATCTCTGAATTTCTTCAAAGCAGTCTTAAGACAGTGGCACAGAGGAGACTGGCAGTTCAAAGTTTTTGTTGCAACCAGTCTAAAAGAAGCTGTGGTCAAGTGGACACTAAAAAGCTGAACTGACTAAGGTGATGAGGGAAGTGTTTTACTGGGGAATTAGTAAAGTAGGAGAATCTGTGTCTCCTTGTTAGTCAGAACCAGAAAGAAATGAGGTACTCACTGTGAACTATTCTGGTGTTGCTAACTCCCTGTGCTGTGCAAAAGACAATAATAGCTTGCTTTAGAGAAAGAACTGCTTCTCTGCCTGAGAAGGCTGTGAAGTAACACCACAGGAAAAGACCATTTCCAGCTTGTTGAAAAAGCACTGCTGTGCAGCTATAGATGAGAGCAAATATGATATCAGGGTGCCAAACAATGGGAGAGAAGGTTATGGTAGTTGAGTGAAATGTCTAAAGATGTTACCTGTACAATGTACATGTACAAAGTGGCAAACTTTGTGAACAGTCCTGGAGCAAATCAGAGAGCTGACTTCACCAAGAGGCTGGAAATGATTGTCACCACATGGAGGAACTGTATGTTCTTGAGGGTGAGAAAGAGGAAGAGCAGTAGACATATGACAAGTTATGGTACAAAGGGGAGGGATTGTCAGTGCTTACTATCCTCCATCTACCACCAGCAAGGAAGATGTTCAATGGAATTAGAGGCTGGGGAATTAAAAACAAATTGGTAGGAAGACTTCCTCTGGGACACTACATTAAGAAGCCACCAAGCTGAACGAGCAATCTGGGAAAGAAATTACAAAGGGAACAAAAGTATCCCAAACTCCAGTGAGAAATATTTGGGCAAGGCATTAAATCCTGAGGTGTAGTTTCTAGTTTCTGGTCTGGAGTGATATGGCTGGTCATACTGTGCCATCAGCTGCTTGCAGAGGTTCTTGCCTTTGCGGTGCTGAGTGCCCTTGCTCTTCTGGAGATGGGACACAGACTTCATGGGTCCAGTATAACAGATGTCTTTGGAAAAGCTTGCTAGGAACATGGTGTTATTGGGCTAGCTTCCAAATAATTGTTTGCATTGGACAACTCTCTACAGGGAGGTGATACCTGTTCTGCCATAATTAAAATGTTGCCTCATCCTTAGCTTCTATGAATAGTTGCTTCCTGTACAGGAAGATTGGAGCCTGTCTCACCTCCATTCGTACTCATCCTGCCCACTGACACAGCCATAGTCTAGGACATGGGGATTTGAAATTGCATCTGAAGAGACTTGAGTGGATGGTTCTGTTAGATGACGTCTCACCTCAGTACTTTCCTCCTCCCCCCTCAGCTTCTCACAATCTCCGGCATTGGAGCTGGACAAGTTCCTGGAGGATGTAAGGTAAGAGGGTTTTTTTTAAAGGGCAACTTTGACTGCGTGTAAGACTGGAAAAATTTAGGAGAGGCATAACCTCAGACCCTGCTCCTTTCCTGTAGGAATGGTATCTACCCACTCACAGCTTTTGGGATGCCACGACCCCAGCAGCCCCAGCAAGTAGTGGTGAAGTCTCCCATTGCTCCACCATCAGTGAAAACACCGACTCCAGAGCCTGCTGAGGTGGAGACCCGCAAGGTGAGAGATGGGAGCTCCATTCCTTCCCTCCCCAGGCAGCTATGCTGTGCAGCAGCAGTCAGTCACGGGGTGTCTCTGCTCCTGTTTCAGGTGGTGCTGATGCAGTGCAACATTGAGTCAGTAGAGGAGGGAGTGAAGCACCATGTATGTTCCCATCATCTGGCTGAGCATGCTGTGTGGGGATGTACCAGGGCAGCTGTGTAGAGCGAGTGGCTCCAGCATGCTGATGTGCTGCTGGTGCCTGGTGTGACCCTCTGCTGCCGTAGCTGCCATCTTTGGGGCCCAAAGCCAGATCCAGGCCCATGCCTGTGGCTGACCTGGCACGTAGCAAATGTTTTCGGCCCCCCCCCCAGATTCAGGCGTCCTCCGCAGGATGGTGCTGCTGGCTGTGGTTTGGAATGGAACTGGATGTGGTCGTTCTGTTAGACTCCTGTGGGGCTTTAGGGGGGGGTGGTTCCTATCCTGATGGGGATTTCTGGGGATGCTCCTGGCTGTGGCCACCATACAGTCACTCATGAGAACTTCTCTACTCTGCAGTTAACACTGCTGCTAAAACTGGAAGACAAATTGAATCGACACTTGAGCTGTGACCTGCAGCCCAGTAAGTACCTTTCTTCCCATGCTCTGGGGCCAGCAGTGCACTCAGACCTGGGACTTATACCTGTTCCTGTGTTGCAGATGACAACATCCAGGAGCTGGCAGCTGAATTGGTCCAGCTTGGATTCATCAGTGAGGTAAGCAGGCCTGGGGCTCATGTAGGGATATAGATCTGCATTCCTTTCTCAAATTTAAATGGTTTATGCCAGACCAGTCCTTTTCTAGCTGGGGATGTAGGAGAAATAAGACATGTCCCTGCCCAATGCCCTGGCAGGCTTCAGCCAAGCTCTTAGCTTTGCACGGGCTGGGCCTACCGCTCACTGTAGCTTGTTCTTCCCAGGCTGACCAGAGCAGACTTACCTGTTTACTTGAAGAGGCATTCAGCAAGTTCTACTACACCCGGAACGGAGCCCTGACGGCAGTGACTGTGTCATCTTAGCACCCCTCGGCTCCCAGGCGGCCAGTGTGGCTTTGTTGCCTGTGACCCCTCTGTGTCTGTCCATCACTGTAGGGCATCAGCAAGACCCCAGCTGCAGTGCTTGGAAGCTCATCCTGCATGTGCCGTGGCTGGGCTTAGTGACAATCCTCCCTGCCCACCTATTAAAGGGGACTTTGCGCATCAGTATTATTTCCAGCCCTGTTTTTGTTGGGATTTTGCCAGGTGGTGCCGGGGAGCCGGGTCCTGGCTTGGGGTGTTCTGTAGCCCCATTCATGTGCATGGAGTTTGTTCTGTTTGAATTGTACAAAGTGTCTTTTGCACAGCACAGAATTTTTTTTTTTTTTTTTATTTAAAGGTAAGCAGGGGCAAGCCCCTAAGCCCTGCCCCCTCTCTGCGCCCTACTCTGCAACTGCCTCTGGCAACACTCACTACCCTCCTTCCCGGGCAGAGGGAGCCAGGGGTGGCCGGGCTCCCATAGCACCTGCCTGGCGCTTTGCCTGCCTCTTCTGCTCCCCTTTGGCTGCACTTTGTTTACTTTTTTGCCACAGCCGCTCAGCCCTGCACTTCGGCATGCACTGTAGGTGCAGGGCTGCGGTGTGTGCTGACACTGGGCTGTGTCCCCTGCAGCCTTCTGAGCCCAGCGCGGCCCGACCCACCCTGCTGTCTGCTGCCCTAGGTCCCTGTGCACCGCGGGCCGCTGCGCGTAGCATGGGACCCGGCGCCGCAGGCATGGGGGCTGCTGGGGCGGTGGGGGCTGCAGTGGCCCTGCCTGCCCCGGGTCCCCTTGGCAGTGCTTGAGGCCTGCCCCCGCGGCCCCCACTTCCAGTCTCGGGGTGCTTGGCGGGGCTAAGCCCACGGCTCCGCACGCCTCTGCGGGGCTGGGCGCAGCACCGCTCCTGCATCTCATTTCTATCATTTCCTATTTTTAATAAACTGTTTTGTAAATACGCGAGTGCTGCCTCTTTCCGGGCCGAGGGGGGGGCGGGGCGGGGCGGGCCTGCCCTGGGGCGGTGCCGGCTGCGGGCGGCTCTTCGTGCGGTGGCGGCGGCCATGGCTGGCGGGCGCGGGGGGCGGTGGGGGCCGGGGCCGCTGGCGGAGCCGCGGCGGCTGATGCGCACTGGGTTGGGGCTCATCGTGCTGGGCCACGGCAGCCTAGTGCTGGGCGCCATCGTGCACGGCTCGGTCCTGCGGCACGTGGCCGGCGCCAGCCGCGCCATCACCCCCGAGTACGCGGTGGCCAACGTGGTGTCCGTGGGCTCCGGGCTGCTGGTGAGAGCGGCCAGGCCGGGCGCCGGGGGCCGGGCCGGGCCGCGGGAGGGGGGAGACGGCCCAGCCTGAGGCGCGTGTTGAGCGCGGATCTCTCTCCGCAGAGCATCGCCGTGGGCATCGTCGCCATCCTGGTGTCGCACAACCTGTCCCGGGCAGCCCTGGTGAGTGCGGGGCCGCGGGGTCAGCAGCCGAGCGGGCCGGGGGCCTCGGCGCGGCTCAGCCCCTGCCGGCAGCCGCTCCCCTGGACCTTGTCCCCGGTAGTTCCTTCCGCCTCGGCGGCTTGCGGGGTTGTGGGTGTCCCCTGCTGCACCGGCTCCGCCGCGCCGGCAGCACCGGGAGGGGGGGTGGGCAGCAGCGTGGGTACTGGGTATCGTCCTGGGGCAGAAGTGCTTCAGCTAGTGGATAAAGCTGCAGCCGAGGTCAGGCATCTCTCTGTGGGCTCACGCAGGGTGGGCCTGCATGAGGCAAGGCTGCTGCCGGTGGGGGCCTCGGCTCTCAGCAGAGCTGGGCCTGTGCTGGGGCTCCCCGGGCATAGGAGCCTGTGGGAGGGGGCTGTCTGGTGCCTCTGGGCTCATGGGAGGGGCTAAGGATGATGCCAAAGGTGCAAAAGCCTCATCCGAGTGCAGGGCTGAGCCATGCTAGAAGGGGCAAGAGGTTGCATGTGCTCACTTGGGGCAAACATCTGTGGGGTTCCCAGCATCCTCGTTACCCTGCAGAGTGGGCATGCAGCGGCGTGGTGTGCCTGGTCCCATGCAGTGGCAGTGCCTAGCCCTGGCATTTCCCCCAGCTCTGGGCAGCCCCAGTCTCATGTGTTCTCCTTGCTGCCTGCAGCATTGGACCCTACTGAGCGTGTCCCTGTTGAACAGCCTCCTGTCCACAGCGTGCAGTGTGGGCCTGGCACTGGCCATTGCCCTCACTGTTCGCGGCCGGGGCATGCACCTTGTCACAGGCTGCAACAGCTCCGCACTGCCTGCTGATGCCCGTGCAGCCATAGCGACCAACGACTGTCCTTTCAACACCACACGCATCTATGTGAGTCTGCAGGGCCACCACACCCCCACACCCCCTCCCACTCTTCCTCTTTTTGTCTCTGCTTCTTCTCATCTTCCTTTTTCTTCTCACTCCCTCTCTCTTTTGCCCATGCTCTCTCTGCCCTTCTTCCTCTCTCCCCCCCTCCCTCTCCCTTTCCTTCTCTCTCTCTCTCTCCTTCCCCCCCTCTTCTCTCCCCCCATCACCTGCACAGCCTCTTCGCTCAGCCGCATGCAGGTAGGCTGGGTGCAGTGGACCACGCTACCTGAGGGACCTCTGACCCTCTGCTCTGCAGGACACAGCCCTGGCGCTCTGGTTCCCCTCCATGGTGCTAGCGGCCACAGAAGCTGTGCTGTCTGGCAGGTGCTGTTTGGTGGCTCTGATCTTCCGGGGCATTGGGCCCTGTGCACGCAGCTACAGCAAAGACCAGGTATGCCCCATCAATCTGGACAGGTCTCCCTGCCTCTGCCCCACCATTGCTGCCTTTTTGCTGCATTTTGAAGGTGCTGGGTTCTGCTGGGCCCTTATTCCCATACAAGCAGGCTGTGCAGCAATGGGAGGGGGGAATGTCAAGTTTGAACCTCTTCTAGCCAGCCTTGGTGATAGACTGGCACCCCTTCATCTTGGGTAGTTGTAGAGGGACCCTCCCCTTCATCCCTCTGATAGCCAAGCCTGTTATGTCCTGGCTGTCCTGAGAGAACGCTGACCCCCAACCTGGCCCAGCCCTTCACACACCCCTGTGACCCTCTACCTCTTTTTTTTTTTCTCTCTAGCTGGCGAGGCCAAGTACAGTGAAGGAGGGGCCACCACGTGAGATGCAGCAACTCCTGGCGGGGCTGGCCGAGTCTTGTGCCTAGCTGGAGAGGTGAGTGCAGTGCATGGGCTATGCTTGGGGGATGGGAGGGAGTAGGCTCCGCTGTCAAGAGGGCCCCTACCCACACCAGCCCCCTGAAATGTCTCTTTCCAAGCACATGCTACAAATACTGGCCAGAGGTGTCAGTGTATGCCTGGCCCTGCAGCACAGTCCTGCACTCATGCGTGCTCTTTCACTCCCAGGTGGTGCTGCAGGAGTGCTGTGATCCAGCGAAGTGAAGTTGCACCTGCACCGTGCTTCTGCCCCGGGTGTAGGCATGGGTAGGATGGGCTGCAGGGGGGAGGGGTGTGCCTTTCCCCCCCCAGCCCCACCACCCCACCTGGGACAAACTCTGCAGGTTCCAGACACAAGCTGCCCAGGGTCACCAGGCAGCCTTTGCCCAGCAGGTGCCATGGGCCCCAGACACTCTCCCCTTCTCTCCCCAAGCTGCGAGGCCCTTCCTGGCACACTAAAGGCTTCATCGGTCTTTTACATGCAGTGGTGGGGGTGGACAGAGGTGCTGGGGTCTGGCAACAGCCAGGGCTGGCCTGGGTCCTGGTGGTCCTGCTGCAGAGCAGGCAGGGTCAGCTTGCTGTGCCTGTGCTCAGGCAGGCCAAGGAGTCGAAGGTGAAGAGCCCCTTTGTTGTGAGCCTCTGTTGTTTCCCTGAGTAAATAAACTTCATTTTCACAGTGGCTGCTGTAAGTGGCTCCCCAGGGTGGATGCCTGCTGGAAGCTGGGCCTACTAATGGAGGGACAGTGCAGCTGGTGTGTAAGCCCATCTCCATGCTTGCCCCCCACCAGGCACAGGGATGCAGACAGATACATGGTCCCAGTGTGACCGTCACCCAGCAGGACGGAGGGCACATGTTTAGCATAGCTAGGTTGAGGCTGAGAGGCATATGTGTACAGGGTTATGGCCCTGTGCCCTAGGAGCTACACGTGTTCCTGGGCTCAGCATCCCTTGACAAACAGGAGCACATTAGGGTTGAGAGACCTGTTTATTGGGGGTGGAAGTGGAGGGTGCTGAAGAACAGGACTGAAAGCCGCCACAGTCTAGCTCACTGGAAAGAGAAGCTGGTGTTCGGGAGTCCTCCACACCACTGGCTGAGGAATTTGAGCACATCTTGGCACGCAGGGCTGTGGGATGTCTGCAGAATGAAAGAGGCCTTGGCACTGGCAAGGGGGCAGTGCTGTCACCCTCTGGCCAAGGGCACCCCTGGGAGCTGACAGAGCTGCACAGGCAGGGCTGGGTCTGCTCCAGCTCTATAAGTGAGGTTAATCCCCACCCAGCAGCACACAGGGAGGCTGCACTAAAACTGCCCTGGTTCAGTGTATCTCTACCCAGCGGGACAATGTTTTATTGTCAGCATGAGGGGTTGAACACCCCGCAGCCTGTCTCCCTGCCCCACAGGGTGCCTGGCTCACCTTGACAGCCATCAGGAACTTGTTCCATGTGTCCTTGTTAGCTTCTCGGCCTGGCCGCTTGAACTCTATCTTGTTCCTTAGCACAGGGTACCCTGGTCACACAGTAACACCTTCAGAAACAAGCTGAGACCCACAGCAGACCCCTGCCTTGTGCACCCCTTCCCTCTCTGCCGTGGCCAGCTGGCTAGGGCTGTTCCCATGGGGCAATGCAGGGAAACAATGCCACCCCGGCTTTTAGAGACCAGAATGAGGAAGGGGGTGCCCAGAGTGGTGGGATCAAAGGAAGATGAGGGCTGAGCTGCTCTCTGGCAAGGACACCCAACTAAGTATGTCAAATGATAGCACCCCACTCCTGACCTTTGGAGCCAGTCCTGTTGCTGGTGGCCCACGCCTTCTCCCCGCTTCTCTGACCCGCTCTTTAAGTCCTGCACCACAATCCCTCACTGTCTGAAGTGTGCAAGTGGGGGGGACAGTATTTGCCAGAATAGACAGCTTTTGTAGAGCCAGGGCAAAGCAGGTACAGGTGCTGCATGTGTACACGTGAGTCAGTGCTGGCCAGCCTGGGCAGTCTCCTAGACAGTGCTGTGCGAGACAGCAGTCACAGAATCATAGAAACACAGAATGGTTGAGGTTGGAAGGGACCTCTTGGGTCTATATAGTCCAACCCCCTTGCTCAAGCAGGGCCGCCACAGCTGGTTGCCGAGGACCATGTCCAGATGGCTTTCGACTATCTCCAAGTATGGAGATGCCACAACTTCCATGCAACCTGTTCCAGTGCTCAGTCACCCTCACAGTAAAAAGTGGGTCCTTCCATCTCCTCCAGCAGAACTGGTCCCCACAGCTGCACAGTCTCCCTACTCCTCTTACAGCATAGCCTGAACTCCCTCCCAGACCCCTCCTGCAACATGTTCCCACTCCCTGCATGGCACCATGTACTCCTTGCACATGTGTGAGCTGGCCTGGAGCTTACCTGTAAGCACACAGGGCAGGGAGCGCACCCCTGTATTTGCTGCCACCAGTGAGGCTTCGTAGGTGTCACGCTCATCCTGTGGCAGCACCTGCTCCAGCCGCTGGTCCATGGACATGGTGAGCACCCAGTCCCTGACCTCCTCCCGCTTCTCCTCCTGCAGGGCAGAGGCCAGCGTACCTCCTGATATTGCATGCTGTGCCACTGCCCAGCTGCTGCTCCACAGCACCAGGGAGCACACTGGGGAGAGCAGGACACATGAATGTGCATGCAGGATGTACACACACATGTGCATGTGTGCATATTGGGGGTGTGTGTGTGTGAGTGTATGCATGCGTGCACATGCACACGTGTATATTGGGGGGAGCATGAGAAAGAGTGCATGTGTGTGCATGTGTATGTGTGTACTGGGGCTGCATGTGTGTTTGCAGTGGGGGGGCACAGGGCAGGGGGCAGTGCTGAGTACATTCCCATCTCCTGTAGTGCCTGCTGTCCCACCCTTGTCCCAGTCCCTGTTCAGAGAGGACCCTGAAGCAGCATCAGTGTTCATGGGAGCTGAAGAAGGCAGATGACACTCACAGGCACGTGCTGTTGGGCTGGAAGTGGCACTTCAAAGGGAATGTCTGTGCTCTGGAAATCAGAGTGGTCCAGAGAATCCAGGTTCCCTTCTTCAATGGCCTGAGAAAGAAGTGGTGGAGCACTAGGCAATACCATCCTTGGAGCTGACAGTACAATCTACATTGTGAGGATGGCATTACTGATGCCCCTATCTATTAGTGCCATGGTGATTGGGCCCTCCTGGGAGGTGGCATTTATGGCCATCCTCTGCAGTGTCAGAGGATGTGTGCCCCTGAAACACTGTACTACTACAACTTGTCAGGTGGCCTCAAAGGAGGGAAAGATGAAATGGGGAGGTTTTTTTTCCCCAGCAGCTGCTGACAGTACTTGGAAGACTGGTACAGTAAGGTCTGTCGGCTTCCTAGGGTTTGGTGTTTTCTGGTGACCAACCTGCTAGTCAAGGAAGGAGTTGACGGCACGGAGGATTCCTGAGTCTTGTATCACAGTGGCTAAAGCATTGGGCCATGCCCTCCACCCCTCAGGTAATTTTCCTTCCCTTGGAACAACTCAGATGAGATCACAGAATCATAGAATAGTTTGGGTTGGAAGGGACCTCTAAAGGTCATCTAGTCCAACCCCCCTGCCGTGGACAGGGACATCTTCAACTAGATCAGGCTGCTCAGAGCCCCGTCCAACCTGACCTTGAATGTTTCCAGGGATGGGGTATCCACCACCTC